GTTACACCACACAGAGGAGCTTCGACGTGCATTTGTAATAAAATCAGCACACATAACTTATCACGAATTAAGCGCTGTGAGAGACCGACAATGCATGATACACACATCAACTCACACACTCACTTGTCTATAGATGCGAGAGAGACGTGCTTCTCTCTCTCTAGCGCAGCGAGTTATCTCTAGTATCCCACCCACCGACCTCTCTAATCGCAACAGCCAGTATCACCAAAAGCGATGGACTCTCGCGCGCATGTGTTAACACATCGCTATGCTCTCGCATCGAGACATATAGTAGACAGGTCTTGTGAGAGAGCGAGAGAGCGCGAAGTATGATTGCGATCATATATAGGCACAGGCGTTTCTGCGGATGAGTTGAGAGCGAGGTGAGTGGCCGCCAACACTCATTCTGGGCCCACGGTGCGACCCACGCACTCACAATTGTTGGCAAATATATATATACACACACAACACACACACACACACAAGCGCGGGTGTGCTACTCTCACAACACGAGACCTCCTACAAAACATCGACACTTTGCGGTCTATGCCACTTAGAGAGAACGAGATCCCACACACACTAGGTGAGGTAAGGTGTTGGACTGTATCTGTGGTTCATTACGTTTGAAAAATTTAGAAGCACCACCGCGCACCCAATCAGCGCACGACTCCTGCGCCTTCCCGCTGCACCGCACTCCCTATGCGAACCCACCATACTCTATCTCTCATACCCCCCCATCGCAATTAAAGCGCACCACTTCTCATACAATACGCTTGGAGAGAGAGTGCTCCCTCATCACAAGCCTAAATCTCTGACAAGCAGGCTAGAACTTGAGGGGTGGGGGTCGAATTTGATGATTGGGAGGTTATATATAGGGTATGTCAGAGTCCACCTCTCCACACCACCCGACCACTCCCGTCATAATTCTAGTGCGCGCCTAGCTGACACATGTACTTATGAGCGCGTCTCAGGTTCACTGTCTCCGAAGCTATCTTAGCATGATTAGCTACACTATATCATGTTATAGGACTTGCGAGCTCCAAAACACACACATTTATGTGCGCGCGAGATGCAGTCGGATAAATATGATGATATTTGTTTCGAAATGAGTGAGTGTGAGTAGATGAGGCGAGGAGACACCCCTAACCCCCCCAAAGTTTTTTAGAGTGCATTATCTCTAAACGACAATTATATGGCTCGTAGTACTATTCCCTCAATCATCAACCTGAAAAGTTTTCATGCCCCATAGTATATGGAACATATATGTAGACAGGTCTATATATAGATATATATATATGATGCGGGGGGTGATAGGGTGGGAATTTGGGTGAATGGGTGTTGGGGTTGGGATGATGATACACACAAACAGGTTATACACACACCACACATCACTCAATCTCCTACCTTCACTCCTAATTACCTGCACAATATAAAAGAAACCAAGAATCATGTTGTATAGAGGTAGGTAGGGGCGGAGCCTAGAATGGGAAAGTACTCTACACCTCACATCTCCTCCTCACACACTCACTCTCCTACTCACTCTCTCTCTCAACTCAAGGACAACAATAAAAAAAAAGAAATTTATTAGTTAAAAATCTTTAAATGGGGGGGTATTAATAAAAATTATATATTTTTATAAAAAAAAAAAAAAAAAGGGGGAGTGTATTTGTATTGTTAATTTGGTTTGGGTGATGTGTTTGGGGTTGAGGTGTTGGTTAGGGTTGGTTAGAGGGGATTTTGGGATTTTGAAGGTATGTATGGGGTGAAGTGATGTGAAGGGTGGTTAATAAGGGTTAAGGGGTTTAGGTTTTTGGTTGTATGTTTTATTTTGTTGAGGATTAATGGAAGGTGGAGGAGGGGGGGTGGATGTATGGGTAGTGGAGGGGGGGATTGGGGAGAATGTTGGAGGGAGTTAGGGGGGGGGGGAGGGGAAGTATGATGAGGTTGTGGTGGGTTGAAGGAGGGATAAAGGGGGTAAGGGAAGTGGGTGGGGAATGGGGAGGTTTGGGATGGGATGGGGTGGAGGAGTGGGAGGGGAAAGGAAAGTGTGGAGAGAATAAAGGGGTATTAGGATTTAGGGGGTGAGGTGTAGCTCTGTCCCATCGTGTCTTACCATAGATTTTTCTAAGTGCTTTTATCTTTATTGTTACTAGCATTAATTTTGCTATCTCTGTGTAAGGTCGTGTTTCTGCCACATATGTCATTATTGGTCTGAGGACTGTTTTGTAAATTCTGCTTTTCGTTTCTTTTCCGATATTTTTATTTCTTCATATTGTTTCATTTAAGCAATCTGTGGCTCTATTTGGTCTATTTACTTAATCTTCCACTTGTGTTTTAAGCTTTCCGTAGCTAGATAGTGTGATGCCTAGATATTTAAGTTCCATTACGTTCTATTATCTGATCCTCTACCTCTAATTTGCATCTTAGTGAATTTGCTGTTATAACCATGCACTTTGTGTTTTTTTTTGGGTGAAATTAACATATTAAACTTTCTGGTGATTATATTAAATTCGTGCTGCATGTTGTAAATCATCTTCGCTTTGAGAGATTAGAATTGCACCGTCTGCATATCAGATTATTTATTTAAGTTGTTTTTGCCATTTGGTACCCTTTTTCTTTTTCTTTGAGTGCCGTGTCTAAATAAGGCGTGGGTAACTTCCATGACTATTTGTCGATATTATTCCCGATTTCGTGCGGCATCTAACAATTCATCTGCTGATAAAGTAGTCCATTGATAAAGGTTTCGGAGTCAAGAATATTTCTTCATTCCAATTTCTATTTTTTACTTGATCTTTCCGGTGAGTACTAACTGTAATATCCAGTATCTGCTCCCTCTTATTAGGTGTCATATATTCAAGTTTTCTCTTTTTTTATTATCTTCTGTATTTGAGATGCATTGAACTTATGATATTTTAGCATTCTACGATATGACCACATCTCAAAGGCTTCTAATTTGTTCCTCATCTTAACTCGTCAGTAACTCAGTAACAGTAACAGTAAATCGTCATGTTTTCTTTGTAGTTCTTCCATTTCACATTTGTTCCATCCAGTCCTCTTTTGCTCGCTTAACTTAGTATATTATTTGTCGATATATTTCTTATATGTATCCTTACATAAGATCTAGTAGTTTGTCAGTCATTCAATCCTTTTTCTTTAGTCGTTCATTTTCTGGGTTGAAAACTTCATTGGATATGTTGACCACGGCGAAATTCATCATATCTAGATTTTGGCCGATATTTTCTTATCCAGATCTTTCTAGCTGTTTTTGCATCTCACAATTTACCTTATTTCCAAACTCCTCTGCTATGACGACATTTCTTAGGAGTCGATTACTAGGTTTCTTCTGAGTTGGAGTTTTTATTCTTTTCAGTTTTAGTTTAAATCCAGTAGGGAACATACATATTATGGTTAGTTGCTGCGTCTGCACTTGGATATGTTTTTGCATATGTAATACTGGTTTTAAACCTTGTATTAATGATAATTTAGTCAACTTAATTTCCGATTATTTTTCCCTCTTGATCAGCTGGACATTTCCAGGCATATAATTGTTTTTTAGGTTACTGAAAGTTTTTGCTATAATGCATTTCTCTTCTTGGCAGAACTGTAGTAGTCTGTGCCCCTTTTTGTTCCATCTCTAAGTCCATACTTTCCAGTTATATCTTGTGTGATTTCAGCACCAAATTTTAAGTTTAAATCTCTCATAATAATAGTAGCTTAATGTTTTTTGTGCTCCACAGAATTTATTTAATTTGGCTGCTGAATTGCTCAACCTAGAATTACTACCATTTTTTAGTTCTTTTTTTTTAATATTCAATCCCCCCCTCTTATCCCTTTGTCAGTTTTAATTAGGTCAGTTAGTTCTTCTACTTTTACTTTTACTGTGTTGGTCTGGTAGATATTTTTAATCGTTTTGATTATTCCTAGGGTTATCTCTCTTACATAAAATTAGTAAAAAACCTCCTTTAATTTGACACTGTCAAATACCTTCACGAAATAAGTCCACGAAACATAAATATGCTGGTTTGTTGTATTCTAATGATTTCTCTTGCACTTGCACCTCATTATAAATATAGCGTTGGTGTATGATCTTCCAGACCTTAAACCTTGTTTTTCTTCTGCTAGTGCTATAATTTCATCCAGTTTATTTGTTATCACTTTGGTTGTTAATTTTAGTGTTGTGTTAAATTAATTTCCCTGTAATTCTCCGGGTCCAATCTTTCTCCCTTTTTGAAGAGGGGTATTTGGAATTCTCGATTTCCATTCTTTTGGTTTGTTCTATTATTTTTTGGATTATCTTTAATAGTTGTTTGGTCAGATTTGATACCTTGTACTTTAGGAGCCCATTCGGTATTCTGTCGTCTCTTGATAATTTCCAATTTTTTTCTTAACGTTTCCTTATTTTTCCCACCTCAATGTTAATTCTTCGTTTGTCGTTACTTCTGGTGTTGGTGGTTCATCATCGTCACCTTTAGCAACAATTGTATTGAATACATATCTGTCGAGAACCGGGAAAATTCACATTACACAAACAGGAATGATGAAGAGCCTAATATTTGAAAATATGATGTACATTTTCCTATTAAACAGCTCAAAGCCAACAAAATCCCTTGAGCTTGAGCAAAGTGTAAAGGGCTTCAGTACAGAGATCACTAATATTTTAGAAATAGCAATAAAATCTGTCAATAATAGAAAATTTCATCTTTATTTTTTGTATAATATTTCTAAAATTATTGATATCCGCTTTATTGTTTTAAAACTTATTCTCATTTGCTAAGTATATTTATTTACTGATTTGAAATTATATAATATCAGATTATAATAATTACAGAAAGATCTAAAAAAATTAAAATTAGTCATAACAAATATTACATCGATTTACTGCTTTAACAAGAATATATTGTTTGCTTTAGAAAATTATTAACATAACCCCCTGTATGCCGGTATAAATAAATAGAGACCACAGTGACCTACAAAGTCCTAAACAAAAGAACTGCACTCACCTATCGTCTTGATGATATTGAAATCATCAATATCGTACCCATCCTTTTCTTTGTCATCGTCTGAATACTCTTCACTGGTGACCGCCGAGGACGAGGCCAAACTTTCGGTACTCTCTTGTCTGCTGCGGATGCTGTAGTCAGCCATCATGTGAAAGTATGAATTATGAGAAACTATTACGTTTGTTGTTGCACTACACCGCTTATAGTCCGAGAAAAATTGACCTCTAAGTTTGAACTTGTGGTAAGGCCTGTAAAAAACAACAAAAATTAATGGTTTTACCTAGAAACACACTTTTGTTTAGATTTTTAATGATGATGGAAAAAAATATTTAAGAATATTTTAAGATCGTATTTTCTTCGGTGCTTTATTTGGTCCGGATGTTGGCATCATAAAGGCTATCATAAGGTAAAGAATACGATATCTGATCGCTTACGTTGTTTCACTAAGTTAGTATGTTACTTTATTATTGAGTTGTATCTGAAAGGCCCTTACTATTTGTAGACACCTTAAATCCTTTTAAAAATTTTGGAATACAATGGAACTGGAAGCATTGAAGAAAAAAAATTATATCTGGACCTCAATTTACCATTTACCACAAACTTTACTACAATTCTTATAGTATGTAATCAGAAATTTCAAATAAGCCCAAAGTAATAGATTTGATACTCTAAGCGTTGATCTCTCCATTTTACATTGCGTCGTTCTCGATTTTTCCGCTGATGTTTTTGTGAGAGTCAAAGTTTCTTTTTCCGTATGTGAGGAGTAGTAAAACGCACTGGCTGAAAGCTTTCCTTTCTAAATGGATTGGGACATTTATTTTAAACTTGTCCCTCATTTTTTCCAAATGAAAACTAACCTAATCTTACGCTTTTGAGTAGCTGGTATGCTTGCTTGGCTCGCTTTAATTTTATTTCGTGCCCCAATGTTTCCACAAATTATATGTTTTTTAATAAGTGCTACAGTGTTATATGGTCTATACCATGTTGTGTTAGGGTTTCTATGAGTTTTCTCAAACGATTTTTGATAGAATGCTTTTTTTGGACGATATGATCAATAATATTGTAACTATACAAATCAAAAACTGGATATGATGAGAGTGTTATATACTCTCCATAGGGATTATCCTGCTGTTGACTACGAGAAAATGTAAGCATTTATCGCACGTTTGTTTTTTGCTGAGGTAAAAAGATCCCAACATTTAAATACTGATGAAATCTGGAAATTAGATGGCACAGCTCATGTGCTCATGAAAAGATTTCACCAAATAATTCAATCTGTAAGAAGCCCTAAGAAGCGTATATAGCATAATGGAATGAAGCACAGATGGACTATTTCAACACCAACAAAAATTGCAAACTGCCCTAGACATTGAAAAAATTGACATTTGTCTCATTTCTGAAACACACTTTTTTTATTGAGTTAATGCGTCGACAACTAATGGTCATTGGCATGGTACAGTGAATTTTTACAGTCAGGTACCTAGTGTAGTATGTGTGTGTGTGTGTGTGTGTGTGTGTGTGTGTGTGTGTGTGTGTGTGTGTGTGTGTGTGTGTGTGTGTGTGTGTGTGTGTGTGTGTGTGTGTGTGTGTGTGTGTGTGTGTGTGTGTGTGTGTGTGTGTGTGTGTGTGTTGTGTGTGTGTGTGTGTGTGTGTGTGTGGTGTGTGTGTGTGTGTGTGTGTGTGTGTGTGTGTGTGTGTGTGTGTGTGTGTGTGTGTGTGTGTGTGGTGTGTGTGTGTGTGTGTGTGTGTGTGTGTGTGTGTGTGTGTGTGTGTGTGGTGTGTGTGTGTGTGTGTGTGTGTGTGTGTGTGTGTGTGTGTGTGTGTGTGGTGTGTGTGTGTGTGTGTGTGTGTGTGTGTGTGTGTGTGTGTGTGTGTGTGTGTGTGTGTGTGTGTGTGTGTGTGTGTGTGTGTGTGTGTGTGTGTGTGTGTGTGTGTGTGTGTGTATGTGTAGAGTAATTGTCTTGATACTTAGCAAAGTCGACGTCATTGTCTTTGCTAAGAGACGCTAATTGTATCCGAACGTCTGCGGTCCCTCCGGTGAGTACCGACCGCACAAGGATAGAAATTATTTTAATTCATTAATTTTTAATAAACGAAAATTTCTCCACGCAGGTGAGATTCGAACTCACGACCTTTAGGTTCAAAGGTAGGCGCTCTTACCACTGAGCCACAGAGGGGGAGAAACACACTTTACAAATGAAAACTACATTAGTTTTAAAGGAAATAAACTATATTGTACGTTACATACTGATAATACAACCAGATATGATGAAGCTATGATAATAAAAGTAACTACCACACATAATCAGGAAATATGCTACAAAACAGAAATGTTTCAAGCTACTTCAGTAAATGTGAAATCAAAGTCTTTTGAACTTATCACGGCATGGCAAAATATTTCTAATTGGTAGTGATTTTAGTACAAGCATACCCATTCAGGTTCTAAATTAGTCACAACCAAGCAAAGAACTTTTACCAGCAGTTAAGCAATGCAATTAAACGAAACACTTCAACAGGTAAACCGATATATTGGCCAACTGATTCCAACAAAATTCTAGCCCTGACTGATTTCTTTATAACTAGAAATATTTCTGCTAATTATTTACATATTGAAAAAGCATTTTCCATTTCCCTGTGAATTGCCGTTCTGAAGAGCCCTATTAGAGCGAAATACATCTAAGCGGATACACAGACGCACTATACTGTCTTTAATCATCTCAATATTATGTCAATAATAAAATCTTAACTGTCTTTTCCTTCCCTCTATAATAATAATACTATAAAAAATGTATCGGATATTACGAAGACAATCCACTATATTAATCTACAATAAAATTCGTTTGGTATAAACAGTTTCTAAATGCTGGATGACATATGTCTAGATAGATATGCATCCAGCTGTGGGGTTGTACAATTAGGAGTAATTTAGATATCATCCAGCAATTCCAAAACAAAGTGCTGCGAGGCATTAGCAATGGTTCTTGTACTATAGGCTTTTAAAAAATTTGCCAGAAGTCATGAACAACAACTTCTTAAATAGGTTATTGGTGAGGCCATTCAGGTTCCGAACTACACTGATCTGGCTAGAAGACTCAAGGGGAAGAAATGTTTCGAGTTAGTTGAAGTAAAAGTGAAAAGCAGAGTATTGTTCAAGTGATGGAACAGGTTAATATTTTTTGCAATAAATTAACAAAACCTAAGGAAGACTAGTCAGTTTACCTTTGGTCTCAAGTTTTTGTTGTTCATTGATCATCTTGTTTGGTCAGATTGTAATATTCTTAAGCATCTTATTAGTGTTTATTAAAAGAAATCTCGAGAAGATAAGACTACTCTGGTTTGGCCACTTAGAATAACTAGATTTAGAGAAAAATATAAGAAAGCAGCACAGCTATACAATATAAAATATTTAAAGGTGGATTAACAAGCAACAAAAAGAAACAAGTAATTTTCAAGAGAAAATTTAAAAAATAGATCCTAAAATCCTAGACATAAATAATTTTATATTATAATTAAGGATTAGTATATTAGTATAAGTATTAACATACACGTATATTAAATAAATTTTAGTTCTTCGTACAGCAGTATTATGTGAAAATAAAAACAAAGACAAAATAAAAACTTAAACATGTAACACACACAAAACTGTATTAAGCATTTCCGATAATTCGTACAAATAGAATGCCTATAACCATTTTTACTTTATAGCTTTCTGTTTGCAGTATTAGTATAATAATATATCGGCCTTCGATAAAATTTAGTAAATTTTCTATAATTACCATCTTTAACGGTGTTGATGTATGTTAATGTGTTTAGAACAAAGTGGACATAGGCATTATCAGCATTGCCATGTAAGTGGTATATATAATTATATTTTAATTAATATTGCCGACGTAACTTGTTGATGGTTGATTATCATGGAACTATATGTATAATGGCATAATTTTGTTATCTATATGAGACATCAAGGGTTAGGCTATTATTAATTTCTTATAAACTCAACTTTGTAGATAAACATTATGATCATCAATGATGCTCCTGGCTTAAAGTAGAACCTCGACCTTCTTAAGTATTTTTACCATTCCTATATATTTGAAACCGATGCCAGTGTGTTCCACAATATTTTCTTAGCAACCACATCATTATTAAGGTTTTACCTACTCTTTTTTTTTACTTGTACTCACCCAAATTGTAACATACAGATTCGTCTAGTAAGGTTATTTTATTCTGAACATGCTAAATGTCTAAGTTATTCAATCAATCTGAACGTTGGTAGTTTGTTTAAACTTGTGCTTCTTTAATGAGGGGCTGCTCCCTTTTTTGCGTGAGCTTTTGAGGAACGAGCAACATTAGTTGCGAGTGAGTGCTTTTGGAGTGGTATGCGGCTATATAGCGGGAGCTTTGATAGTGGTTATGTAGAAAAGGAGTGTCATAAGCAAATGATACCTCCGGTGTTACCAGTTATACTAAGAATAGCTCCGAATCAGCCTTTTTGGAATACACTTATTTTATGCATGATATTTGTAGGTATCGTTTCGGGATGTCCTTATATTTATCAAGGAAGTTTATTATCAGCCAAGTAAATAAGCTTGGCTGGAGGGAATGGAACTTTTGTTTGGGGAAGCCTGATTAGTAGTATATGCTCTCGGCGGTGGCTTTAGAGTTTGCTTAGCTCTCTGGTAGGCTATTGTGCAGAGGACATATATTTTGCTGAGAGAGCAGATTCTATTACTTAGATAGGAGATTGCCTTTTTCTGAACGGACCCCTCATGCAGCTTCAACGCAATTTGTTAAAAGAGTTTCGTATGTCAAATAGGATCAGGACAGTCTATGTGTAACCGCGGCTTCCCTTCTTTCCAACTCACGAAACACAATCATTACCGAATCCATAATATATTCATACTTGCAGAAATCGTACAGTCTGTGGGATAAGCCCCCAGACTTCTCAATCACTTCCTCTATTTTACCACCTAACATTGTCTCGTACAGTTTACTAATGCTTAACAAATGGCAAAACAGCCAATACTTATCGTCCCTTTAGGTAGTAGAGATAACCAGGAGGTCTTTTAAGACTTCGGAAATACATGTGCATAAAGCAGAGTATTCATATGGTTCAAAGCCATGTAGCTTCCATAAGTTCTTAATCTATCTTAATCTCTTCAAAAGGAATCGCGTCTGTGCCGTATGTTCAAAAAGACATGGTTTTTTTTCTACAAAATATCGATAGACATTTTTAACGTTGGGAAGGTAT